GGTCCGCGAGAGGTGGGATGGCCCCGGTCTGACCACCAAGACCGGGGCCACGGTGCTGGCTGAACACCAGGCTGGCGCCGGGGGCCCGGTATTGGGCGCGTCCGCCCCTTTACCGTACTTCCCTCTTCCATATAGGTTTAGGGGGCGCATCCTCCTTATATTACGGCCCAGGAATGAGGCGGCGCGGTGTAGGGTCGTATCGCGCCGCTGCCAAAAGGCACCACGGCCAGAGGTGATTTGTACCTCTGGTGCGTGAGGTTGTCTTGGAAGACCCCCCCTCTCACTATCAACGGGAGGGGTGCGGCGGCAGCCTCTCGCCGCGCAAAAGCGCCAGGAGTTGGCCCTAAGGCGGGGAGGGGCCGGCTAGGGATGGGGTTTAGTCCCTGCCATCCCCCCCTCCCCCAGAGTAAGAAACGCAAAAGCGCTAGCGCGGGGTGGTCCCCTGAAGAATGCCGAAAGGCGATGCGAGGGGGTCACTCAATTTGCGCGGAGGACACACCCAGGGGTTTTTAGTGGGTATACCTCCTCCTATCTTTACGGGGAGGGGAGTCCCACATACTTCCGGAGACCCCCCAGATCACCGGGGGATGCGTAATGCATTTTCACCTGGGTAACAAAAAAAAGGTTTCGCCAAGTGTGAAGTTAGCCCTCCCAAATTTCAATGTTAAATAACTTCTTTTCTAGACGTGTGCAAACGAAAATCTAACGATATCATCCGTCAGAAAATTTTTTTTCTGCAATTTTAATCTAGGTTTCGCCATGTGTCCCATCCGTGCCGCCTCCTTAGCGTAGTGGAAGGGTACCGGCGATCCAATGAAAGCTCGGTGGCAGTACCTTTCAGCTGCGGCCGGAGGGGAGGCTTCTACCTGAAAATCGCTGGCGAACGGCGGCAACGGGGAAGGAAAACCCCCACAGAAAACCGGACCGCGGTGGACTGCAGCCCCGCGGTTGCTAGAGGGGGTCGAAAGACCTTCCACTGCAGGGGAGCCCGGCAACTCCCACAGAGCCGATAGGCCTAATTGCCGGTAGGGGTTGGCGGCCTTGACTCCAATCGCCTGGCCGGCTGGGGCCGATAGGGGGAGCTTGTTCCGCCACCAGCCTTGGGGAGTCTAAGGTTGGGGGAACCTCCGCTCAGCGACGGGTAATCTCCCGTCGCAGGGGAGGAGAAGGTTCTACATGAATAGGCATTGCACGTCGGTGCTCCGGCAGCTGAAAGTGTGGGACACCCTTGATCTGTCCCTACTTGGGCCTAGGCCTGGGTTGGGTGGGGAGAGGAACCCACACTCGGGATCGCACGTCGGGAACTACGCTCCCGACAACCCGGGGGGAGGAGGGGTGTGCGAAACGCTCGGACATGTTCCGAGGTCGGGGTCGCGCACCATGGGAGGAACGCCCATCGAAATCACCCAGAGCTTCTCTGGGCCGGCGGGACGAGAGGTGGAGTCTCAGGGGCCGGTACATTGGCCCTCCCCACTCAAGTGGGGGGGGGTGCCACACCCCGGCAACCCTGTGACTCCCCCTGGTCACGGCCGCGCACTGAAGCGTGACCGGCCGCGTAGGGCCCCCCGTGTAGGCAGCTGCGCACGGGGAGTTTTAGGGGTCTGCGTGGTATTTGCCAGAACCCCTACAGCGCAGGTCTGACCAACGTCGGACCTGTATATATCGTAAACCCCTGGAGATCGTTATGTCATGTCTATGACGCATCTCTGGGGGAGCGAGGGCCTTGGCTTAACCGCCTAAGCTGTGAGGATGGGGACCTCTATAAAAAAAACCCCCCCTAATCCCAAGGTTCTGGGCCGCGGCGAGGGGATGGATGGCCGGCAGCTTAGGTCGGTTATTAGCGGTACCGGCCCGGGGCACCAGGCGAACCCCGGGTGTACAAATCGCCCGAACCCCAGGCAAGGAGGCATCGCCTGGGGGGTTTATATTTCCTCCCGCAGATCAAGTCTACCCTGTAAGCTTACGGGTAAGAAGGGGTGGGAAACACAAAAAATGAGCACACCATTTTATAAAACAGGAGAGGTGGAGGCATACGCCTCTATATCAAGCGGGCGCACCACGCCTGCGGCCGAGCCGAACATCCGCTCGGCGAGGAGGATGCCAACGGCCGAGGAAATAGCTCGGGTCGTCATAGCAGCTCACGAGGCCGATACCAGCTTCGAATAGAAGGAGACGGGGGCAAAGAATCCCCCCGAAAAACACGGTGGGACTTGCGGGGCCACTACCGGCCTCGGCAGGTCCCCATGGGAGGAAAGAGCGGTCGGCCGATGGGCCCTCTCGCTCAAGGTTGTGCACACCAGCGGCACGGACGGAGGGAGCATCGGTACACGCCGATCAGGAGGGCGGCCTCGGCGTGGGGGGCAGCGACGGCGACATTAATTCGCGGTTGATGTTGTAACGGCCTTGCGTTACGTGCGGGATAGTCTTAGCCGGTGTGGTCCGGGTTTCGTGTGTGAAATGAAAACCAGTGGTATAGGTGATAATAATGTGAAACTATATTTTACTTTCGAAGCTATTTACAATTATTTACAGGCGACGTTACGCCGTTGGCGCGTGATCGCATTTTTGCTCTCGTCGGGAGCCGCTGTTGTCGTCTCGCGATCAGCTGCGAGCGTCGAGGCGCGCGAGCGTCAGGCGGGACGCGGTCGGAATTGTTTCCGGATACACTATTGTTCGTCGTTCGGAGTTCGTTGCCTCATCGGCTTTAATCTGTTTATCTATCCTGGTCTTTCCTTGCTGGTTTAAAGGCGCTCGTTGTCGCCGTTATCTTATGCCCGGTATGCGTTCGCGATCGTAGATGTTAGCGGCGTAGCGTGAGGAGGAAAAAGGTTGCCGACGTTGCGTATCCACTTCGGTCGACAGAGGGATAAATAAGAAACCGACGTCGCGTATCCACTTCGGTCGGTAGAGCGGTATCGGAGAAAGGATGTCGACGTCGCGTATCCACTTCGGTCGACAGAGCGGTGTCGGAGAGGATGTCGACGTCGCGTATCCACTTCGGTGGACGGAATGTCTAGGATCTCTAGGAATTGCGAGTTCTGGTCGGTCGTGCGCCTGAGAGGAGCTTTCCGATCAATCTCTCTCGATATCAATTTTCTGTCGGCTTTTATACTAAATTATAACAAACAGTTCGACTGTTTGTTGACCTTGCGGTTATTCCATGCGCGGTTGTTCGGCGTTTTCTTTGTTAGTGTTACCGCTATTGTTTCGGCCGTCGTAATGATTCCCGAATCGTTACAACGTCTCCCGCGCTGAGGTTTGCCAAAAAGGACGGGCAAAGGCGACCTGCCGCGTACTCTCGTGAGGGAGACTATATGGCGGCCGCTCTCGCCCACCGAAGATGCGAGAAGGAGGAGGCCAATGCTGTGGTCAGCGCGGAAGATATTCTGGATCCCTCCATGCGGCCGCAGTCCCAGAGGGCCCTACGTGTTCGAGAAAAAGAAGGGAGGATCCTCCGCGACCTGCGGTCTAAACAGACCACAGAGGTCTCGTCGATGGCCCTAGGGGCCATCGATCAGATCATGAAGGTCGCGGAGAGGTAGAAAAATATAAAGGGCCCTCTCCTAGGGATCCTCTGGGACGCATCGGCCACAATGGCCGCGTGCAGCGCCCTGGCCCAAAGGGCCGCCATCACTGATGCCTCTGGAGCGGGCGAGGCTGCTGGAAAGGAGCAGGCGGCGGACTCGGCCGAGATGTAGCGCCTCACGACGGAGAGCGCTCTGCTTCGGATCGAGGTCGACCGCCTGAAGAAGGAATTAGAGGGGGCTAGGACATCCGGCCCCCTATTCCGATCCAATGGGGAGGACTCCACCCCCGGACCCACATGGAGGTAGAGCCGGAGGGGTCGACGGGCTCGACTGCTCGGCGGAAGGGTCCCAGTAACAGAGACTCCTCCGCCGAGAGGAAGAGAAAGAGGGCGGTACACATGGACGATGAATCATTGCTCTTTTCCATGCTGCCACCTCCTAGCAGGAGGAGAGTGGCGGTAATCCACTCCTCCTCTACGGAAGAGAAGATGAAGATGGAGCTGACGGGCGGGGCCATTGAACCCCTGCGCGCCACACCGGAGGAGGACGAGATATGGAGAGTGTGCAGGAGGGAGGTGGCGAGAGACATCGCCGAGGGAAAGCTTCCCTCTGGCGAGCCCTCCCCCTGGAGGGTGCGTAAAGCAAAGCGTCCAGGTCTCCTTCCCACCGGCAAGGCTCCCCCGGAGAAGTGGGAGAGCGCGACGGCGGCGACAGAGGGGGGCGTGGCCCCCTCAACGCCGCAAAACAACGGCTGCAGATAAGCGGTTGGGCTGCTCGGGGGTCGCAAACGGGAGGGCGGCGAGGTGCCACCCATGGCCCAAAATTCGGCCCCCGGGCGGCGTTTGTGGCAAGGCAGGGAGCTGAAAGCCCTAGTTCCCCGCATCTTGGAGGCCGTGCGGGCTGCCTTTCCTGGAGCACCCGGGAGGCTGTCGGCGCGGCCCCGGGATGCTTTCCAAGAGGGAGGAGGTAGAAACAATGCGGGGGATGGGGGCGCTAAGCGCCACCTGCTCTTCCGCAGCCTCCCCGGTCCTCTCCTTCCGCGACCTCCGCTCCCGACTCACGGGAGTAGGGGAAGCGGAGGAAGAGGAAGAAGAAGAAAAAGGAGTGCGGCAGTGGCGGCGGTCGGCAACTGATGGCGGAGCCGGCCACCCACTGCTGCTTTTGCGGGAGAGGCGGGCGCCCCCCTGGACCGGACCGCGAAGCGGTCCGCGGAGACCCCCAATCCCCCCTCCTTCTGCCGCCGGGCCCGATACATGAACCCAGGTTGGGGGCGGGAGGGAAAGAAAAGGGAAGGCGGGGGGCAAATAGGCCCCCCAAAGTCGCGACACCAGCAGTGAGCCGCGGCTAAAGTGGGTGGCCAAAGAGGAGCGTGGGCCCCCCCCAAGTGGGGATGGCCGAAAACCCGTCCTCCCCAAGGCCCCGCGCGCCACCGCCTTGACCGTGAATTGTCAAAATAGCAGCTATGCTGAGGTTATGCGGCGGGCGAGGCGCCACATCAACCTTGGGGAGCTCAGAATCGGGGAGATCCGCACGAGGAGGGCGGCAACAGGCACCCTCCTTTTGGAGATCCCCGGTCCCGAGGGAGCGACTAGGGCGGATGCCCTGGCTGGAAGGATGTCGGCCCTTTTCGCCGACAACCAGGATGTGCGAATAGCACGTCCGGAGAAGAAAGCCGACATACGGGTTCGGGATCTCGACGAGCCAATTGCGGTGGTAGACGTGGTCTCTGCCGTGGCCACCGTCGGGGGCTGCGGACCCGACGAGATCAGGGCCGGAGCGATCTGCCCTGAGGCGGACCGGTTTGGGACATTGTAGCTACAGTGTCCCTTGATGGCCGCTAAGATGATGGCCGACGGAGGACGCCTTACGGTGGGGTGGTCCTCCGTCCGCGTGGAGGCCTTCCAGTGCTTTAAGTGCCTGGAGTCGGCCCATGTGAGGGTCTCCTGCCGCAGTAAGGCCGATCGCAGTGGTCTATGTTACCACTGCAGTTCGGCCGGCCACAGGACCGCGGCGTACGATGCACCGGCGACATGTCCGATATGTCGCGACGCCGGGCGGCCCTGTGGCGACAGAGTGGGAAGGCCCGCTTGCACAATGGCAAAACGTGGCAAAAGGGGAAGGGGAGGGAGGAGGAGGCGCAAGGCCTCCAATTCTCCTCCCGCTTCTCCGCCCGAGAAGGCAAGAAAACCTCATCCCAGGAAACCCGGAGGAGAGGATCCTAAACCATCGACCCCAGTTTCTCCAGCGGGCTCGGCTTCGAAGGAGCAGAGGGTCCCGCGGGGGACCGGGGCCGGAAAATGAATAGCTTCACGGGAGAGGGAGAACCCCAAAGAAGGTCCTTCTCCCGCGAAGAAGGCAAGGGAGAGCGTAAAGGAGTGCGGAGTTGAGCCGTAATGGCGACCCGCCTTCTCAAGGCGAATTTGAACCGCGCTCGTGGAGCTCGGGACCTTTTTGAACAGGCCCTCCGCGAGTGCGGTTGCGAGCTGGGGATCGCCACTGAGCCTCACGCTGTCCCCGGGAGTCATCCCTGTATTGTGGGGGACGTTGGGGGCGGCGTGGGTGCTTGGTGGTGATGCACTGGGTAGGAGGGGATAGATCTCCCCCTTTCTCACTTATTGAGAAGGGGAAGTGGTTTGTCGCGGTCGAGTGGGGGGCCCTAGACGTGGTCGGGATTTACGCCCCGCTCTCGTGGGACCTCGCCCATTTTGAGCACTTTCTAGACCGGCTGGGGGACTTCGTGATGAGGAGCCCCCAAAGGCCTATCCTAGTGGCCGGGGACCTCAACGCCAAGTTAGCGTTGTGGGGGTCCTCGGCCAGGTGCGGACGGGGCGAGGTCATGAATGTCCGTGTGAGTGGCGAACGTAAAGAATACCCCCAACGTATGGCCTGCGTGTCGTAAAAGGCGACTAAAAGGCCCTCATGGGTGGGTTGCTGCGCCCATGAGTATTAGGAGCCGGAGAGCGCCTCTCATTCTCGCTTCAGAAAAGGAGTGGCTTCCAAAGGCGCCTACAGCAAGGGAGCGTACCGGATCCGTTATGCCAGTATGGTACCGGTCTCTCGGGCGGGCAGCGGCGCCCGGGAGTGTCAGGGGGAAGCGAGCGCGCCCGGTTGTCCTTAAGGCAGCCGGTGCGGGCGAACCGAACTCACCGCGGGGGCGGTCGGGTCCCTAATGCCTCCATGGCAACCGGCCTCCCGGGTGGGCAGCTGCGCCCGGGAGTAGCAAAATCCTCGGTGAATACTTCACCGGGGATGCACAACAGGGGCAGGGCGAGCTCCTGAGACTCAATTGAGCCAAACCACCCTCGGGGGCGGTCCAAAATGCCGCCCGGGTTGGGGGGACGCCATCATACCCCTCAAATTAAAATATGATGGACGACCAAAAAATGCAGACTTTCGGCTGGTCGGTAACGTCGGGCCGGCACGGGGGGACTATGTCCCAGGTTTCCCCCTGTCGTCAATAAACGATAAGCCGAGTAAAGGCGACGGGACCGGCGCGTCAACGGCGGACGCGTCGGTCGATCTGGTTACCGCCGCGGACAGGGGGAGATAGGAAGGGTAGAGAGAAAAAGGTAGGAGGAGGAAAAAGAAGAAACATGGACAAGGAAAAGGAAAGGATCGGGACAGGGATAAAAGAGAAGTCCAGGGAAGGGGATGAACAGATGGATATGGAAGGGCAGGAGCTCCAGGGCTGGCCGGATCCCGAAAGGAAAAGGAAAAACCGGGAATTCATACTCTCGCGGCTAAACTTTATGAAGGAAAGTGCCGGGAGTATTGCAGAAACCGTCAGGAGGAGTAAAAGAATGAGTGGAGTGAAAAAGAATAGTATCACGCAGAGTAAGAAAGAAATGGTTAAATATGGAGAGGATATAGCCAAAGTGTTTAAAATAAGAACGGAGTTCCTGGAGAAATTGATAAGGGAGAGGGATGCAATGCTAGATGAATATGAGGATAAGGAAAATGAGCTGAAAATAGAAATGGAGGAATGAGAAAAGAAAGGACAGCAATGGGAACTGGACAAGAAAGATTGGGAAATGAAAAGGAATAGTTTAAGGAGAGAGAGGGAGGAAAGGGAGGGTAGGATAAGGGAGTTAATGAGCAAGAGTAGGAAGACGGTGGAACGGGCAGCGTCTCCGTTTCCGGAGATTCAGCCCAAAACGAGGGACCAGGCGTCCTCCCCGGCCCAGGGGATCCCGATGGGGGAGAACTGGCAGGCTCCGGGAGGTCGCCGGCGGAGCTGCTGCTGTCCCTGATAGGAAGACGGCAGGGATTGGTAGGATGACGGGAGAAGGAAGAGGAAGAGGAGAGGAATAAGAGAGGGAGCGGGAGGGGTGAGGGGGTCGAACGTGGCCGTTCCGGGAGTGTCGGTGAGGGGTTTGGCCTCTCCCTGTCGCCCGGCTGGGCACGGTCGGCCGGCTGGAGCAGCGGGAGGGCTGCCGACGCTGCCGGTGACGGCGGCAGTGGCGGTCCGCCTGGAGGAGGGGGAGCCTCTCGTACGCGGAGGCTCTCCGTAGGATGCGGGAGGTCCCCCTCGAGGGAATGGGATTCCAGCCGGTCTTTGTGAGGAGGGCTGCGAATGGCGGCTGGGGCTGGCGGGCTCCAGTAAGAAGGGGAGGGACCGGGGGCCTGACGTCCTGGCCGATAAGATCTGGGCGGCGCTCCCCGGGGCCTCAGTGATGAGGCCAAAGAGGTACGGGGAGATCCGGCTTGTCGGTGTTGACGAGTCGGTCCTCTCCGAAGAAGTACTCGGAGTCCTGGAGGCCCTCGGTAAATGCGGGCCAGCCGAGATCCGAGTGGGCCCCATCAAGCGGGGGGGGGGAATCGGGACTATGTAGGCCCGTCTCCCTCTGAAGTCCGCCGTCGCAGTGGCCCGGGAGAGAAGGATGGCACTGGGGTGGGCGGGAGCGTCGGTGGAGATGTTCGATAACCGCCCGCTCCAGTGTTGGAGGCTCGGTCACACCCGAGCGACCTGCTCCGCATCAATAACCGGAGTGGGCTCTACTACCGGTGTGACCGGGCCGGGCACAGGGAGTGCGGCCTGCGCGGTGTACCTAGAAGATGGGCGGGACTCCGGCCACCGCGCGGGGGATCCCAGGTGCCCGGTAGGGAAGAGGGGTGGTGTTGCTCCGCCGGTCGGAAGGCCGACAGGGCACCGGAGGGGACGACCTCCGAATGAGGCCGGAACGATGGGAGGAGTGTTGACGGACCCCGGGATTCTATCCCGGGATCCGGCCGCGGAGAAGGCCCCGGTCTGATCGAGAGCGGTGCACTTCGACACGGTGCATTTGGACACAGCCAATCACAGCACCGTGTGATTAGAGACATTTGTAGGGTCCCTTGGAACTTGTGATTGGACTGTGTCCAATTGCCCCGTGTCCAACTGATATACACCCGGTCTAACCACCTAGATTAGAGTCACGGCGCCGGCTGAACATCGCTGCCGGCGCCGTGGAGAACCGGGACTGGAGGTGTTTTACGCCCTGTCCCGGTCTCCTCTCTCCTCTACGGGTCGCTGGGGGGGTGTGCGGGGGTGCACCCCTCTCGTATAGCGGCCCGGGAAGAAGGCGGCACGGTGTTGGGTCGCACCGCGCCGCTGTTAGGAGGAGTCGTGACTGGGGGTGATTTATTACCCCCGGTCCAGGAGGAGTCCTTAGGACAGCGGAGGGGGGGACCGTGGATGTAATACGCAAGTGGTACCCGCGGGCCTCCTGACAACCGCTGAGGACGGACCCGCCAGGGGTTTTAGTGGGTAGGGCTCCCATCGATCTTTTTCGGCGGGAGAGGAGTCCTACATAACCCACAGTCTCCCCCGGAGGCCGTGAGTATGCGTAAAAGCATTTCCCTTGGCTAATAAAAAAAAAAAAGAAAAAGAAGGATCGCGTCTTATGGCCTCTTTATCATCAACAGAGGCCGAAGGAGCACTCTTGTCGGGCCGCGGGGGAGATCGGTGATTGACACCACTCTTTTTTTTTTGTAAGCCAGGGGAAATGCTTTACACATACCCGCGGTCTCCCTCCAAAAACCGCGAGTTATGTGGGACTCCTCCGTCGCCAAAAAGATTGACGGGGGCCCTACCTACTAGAACCCTTGGCGGATCCGTCCTTGTCGGTCGTCAAAGGGCCCGCGGGAACTTCTTGCGTATGACATCCGCCGGGCCCCCCTCCGCTGCCCAGAGGACACCTCCCGAACTGGGGATAATAATTATCCCTGGTCGCGATCCCTCCTAACAGCGGCACGGTGCGACCCAACACCGCGCCGCCTCCCTCCCGGGCCGCTATACTAGGAAGATGTGCCCCCGCACACCCCCTAGTGACCCGTAGGTGAGAGGGTGACCGGGGCAGGGCGTAAAACACCCCCAGTCCCGCTTCCCCCAGCGCCGACCGCGAAGTTTAGTCGGCGCCGTGGCCCCGGTCTAGATGGTCACACCGGGGCCCTCTCCGCCGGCAGGATCACGGGATGAAAGGTCTCGTGATCCGCCAGCAACACCTCTCTCGGGGCCTCGGTCCCCCGAGCGGCAGCCGGGCCTCCAAGGCCGGGCGCCGCGTTAGGCGGCCGACCCCTCCTGTGGCCCGGGGGCCACCTGGACCTCGGGTCACCTCCACCCCTTCTCATCGGACAGGCGGGTCCACCTAAGCGGTGGCCCGTCCACCGGCCTTCCTCCCGGCACACCGCGCAGGGCACGCATTCTGCGCAGTCCTGCGCGATGTGCCCCGTTCGGCCACACCGGTAGCACGACCCGCTCCGGTTCACAGACGCGGAGCAGGCCGCCCGGGAGTAACCAAGCCTTCAGCACATATAGCACTGAAGCGGGCGGTTAT